CTGAGTAGATTATATCAAACAGACTAATAATTGCATTGTATGTGTACTCTTTTGGGGAGCGGAAGCCAAACTGACAAGGACTTTATATGTCGAATTTTACGAGATAGGAGTAAAGTTGTTTGTAAATATTGTTTTCAAATATTTTTGATAATATACGTAGATTTGATATGGGTCTGTAATTATTTATGTGTGCCGTATTGCCACCTTTATGAAATGTCGTTACTCGTACTTTTCTAAGGATATCAGGAAAGGTTTGACACTAAAGATTTGTTGAACAGCAGAGCTATGGGTGGCGCAAGGGCATGGAAGGCACTCTTGTATACGATAGATGGTATTTCACAAATGTTTCCAGCATTGGTTTTTAGTGAGCGAATGTTGGACACAAAATCTATCGGTCGGACTGTTGGAAGGAGATTAGAGTTTGGACAGATGCCTGAAAGATATGTGGTTACATGTGTCTGAGTCTGTGGGATTTTCTGGCAAAGTTAGCACCAATTGGCAACCAAATTTGCAGAAAGAGCAGCCAGTAATCAGCATCCAAAAGACAGGACTAGCAGTGCAAACAGGATAAGAGGAAGAAATATGGCACAGAATCCTAACAGCATGTGCAGAACCTCTGACACTGATACCCATTTCAAACTGGATGACCTCAATTGGGTTAAAAAAAACTTCAAATATACATCCCCTGGAGACGACAAAATAAGCTATAAAATTATTAGAAACCTCGGCCCAGAAAGAGATGCTGCATACCTATGGTCATTTAATTTAGCATGAACATCTCAAACTAGACCTACAGCTTCGAACAGAGTAAACATAATGCAGAACCCAAAACCCATAGATCCAGCTAATCCAAGACCCATCTCTCTTCTAATCTGTGTAGATAAGCCTTTTGACAAAATGGCACTGAACAGAGAGGAAAATGCCTAAACTGCACCAAGACATGAATGCCTATAGAAATGGGGTTGGCACAGTGGAATGCATTACAACTCTGTTAGCCCACTAGAATAACAGACTAGGAATAGTGATATTTCTGAATCACCAATAATGATATATCATCAATAGTGATATTCCTGAACCTCGAGAAAGCCTTTGATCTGGCTTGCGCCCCAGCATTTCTCTGCTGCCTCATCGACAAAGAGATCAAAGGCAACCTGCTCTCCCGGACCAAAAACTGTCTCGTAAAACAGAGAAGCAAGACTTAAACTGCACTGCACAATCTCTGAATACAAAAGACATGAAATGTAACACAGGAAGGAGGTCTTCTCAGCCCCTTTCTGTCAACTGTTTAATGGAAAGAATATGGAGGCTTAAACTCCTTCAACACTGCTAAACTATGTGGACGACCTTATCATCATTAAGGGAAGGGACGCGGTGCGCCTTGCACCAAAATTATTTTACTGCATCAGTGAAAAGGCAAAGTAAATTGGTATAAAACTGCCATTCTATCAAAATAGTGAAGCCGGACAACCAACTCTAAGTACAGGGTTAGCCAATAGAATGGGTGGACACTTATCAGTATCTAAGAACAATCCTGGATTCACAGGTAAATTTTAAGGATGAGGTAAATTACTTGTGAGAGAGAACGGCGGCCAAAACGGGAATCATCATATCGTTAACCTCCCTCGCTGGAGTAGCCAATCTGCAAATCCTTCGCACATATTATGTACATGGCAGTCACATCAGTGATGGATTATGCAGCATCTGCACTCACAAGCCTATCACAACAACAGTGGAAAAAGATTGAAGTAGCCCAAATTAATGCTATGAGAGCTGCCCTGGGAGCCCCTATGTGGACTTAAATTTGAAAGTCTAAGACTGGAAACGGGTTTGCCCTATGTTCAACAAAAAAATCGGAAAACAGCAACGATTGTCAGTATGATAAGAGTTTACCCTGATCAAATCCCAATACGACAGACCTTGGTGGTTGGACTTGGTAAAAACAACGGAAACGCTTGGACTGTCAGAGCGGGTGAAATCCTAAAGAGGCTACAGACTTAAAAGAGTTAAAATTACACAGAACAATACAAAAATTTGCAACTTAATTTAAGATCAGAAGAGGGCAGGTTATCCAGATTACAGACGGGGGAGAAGTCAAAATCCTTTACCTGGTCAGGCAAAGCTAAATCTATATATCTCGGATGACAAACAGGTTCAGAACCAGAGAGGAAATGTACCGAATAGTAACGTGCTAAATGCAGTAGCAGGTAATGGAGACGTATCTGAATGGAGAAATTTGATAAGTGAGGTGCCACAATGGTCCATTTTGGGACCATCCCTTTTGTCGTATAAATCAAAGACATAGACGAGAATATTACAAGCCCCATCATCAAATATGAAGATGAAAAAGATTTATGGTAAAGTGGGAAATGATTACGATACTGAAGTCTTACAAAGATATCTACATGAACGCCACGAATTTGCCAGAAGCCTAGCCAATGCTTTTTTTAATATCGACACATGCAAGACCATGCATGTGGGACATAACAATCCACGCCACGACTACTAAATTAATAGCATTTTATTGCAGCAGATTTATGAAGAAATGTACCTTGAAGTCAAGATCCACTGCTAATTAAAAGTTGCACAACAGGTGGATGCGGTAGTCAGTAAAGCTAGCCAAACTTTTGGAATAATCAAGCGTACCTTTGACTATAAGGAAAAGAAGGTAAGGGTTCAATAGTATAAATCTCTGGTGTGCCTCCACGTACATTATTGTAACCAAGCATGGAAACCTCATTTTCAGTTCATAGCTGCTCTGAAATAGGTGCAGCACCGGGAAACAAAACTCATTTCAGAGATAAGTCATTTCTAGCATCATTAATACTAGAAATACTTTTTTATTATTAGAAATATTAAATATTTATATAAATATTATTTATTATTTTAGAAATATTATATATTTCTAATAATAAATATATTATTAGAAATATTATATATTTATAAATACAAGAAATTTTATATATTTCTAAACAGAAGACATTTGATATATTTCTATAGACATAGCTGCTCTGAAGAAGGTCATAAGGTGAAACACCGGGTCACAAAAGTAATTTCAGAGCTTAGTCATTTCTAGGATCATTAGGTACTAGAAATATTTTTATTATTAGAAATACTATATATTTCTAAATATTATAGTTCTAAATATAAAAAAAAATATTCAATATTTCTAGCACGTGAAGGCCACAGGGCTAACCAGGCATGACAGGGCGGATCTTATTGAAACTTAAAATATTGAACAAGTTAGGGGATGTTGATCCGTATATTTTCTTCTGAAGGTCAGACGTAACACACACAAGGAGCAACGGTTTCAAGCTCAACAAGCCTCAATGTAGGTCTAAGAACAGAAGATGCTTTTACCCATAGGGTTATTAACCCCAGGAACAGCCTTCCCGCCGAAGTCGTAACTGCCAAAACTGTGTTGTTTCAGATCCATCCATCATGGGAAATGTGGGACCTTCGACAAGCCTCCGGCATCCTATTTTTGTCGAGGCCACTAGGGTTAGTAACTCTCAGGTTTATTAAAAAGCATGATTCGACATAAAGGTGGTGGTCCTCCACACCCAAACTACACTTGTCCTCACTGTGGGAGGAGCCTACCTTTGAAATATTAACAGAAGATCTTCCGACGAAAAAGGCTTCCTATGGATCAACAATCCATTAAAAAGCAAATGAACATCATTGCAGTAGCAAGAGACACCCACATCTTCACAGGATCGGTGGACTCAGATTGTGAATGCTGGTGCTGCTCTTTGCACAGACAGCGAACAGGCGTATTGGAGACTGGGAGAACCTGTATCATCAACCCATCCTTAGCTGTTTGTCATACAACTGGCATTCACATATGATTGCACCAAGCGCTCAAAATGCAATCATACACACAGACTCAAAAGTTGCACTTCAAATATTAGGAAAGAAGCAGTGGAAAGAAAAGATAACGTGAAAATAATTACCACAATTCTGTATCTAGGAGTAGTAGCTAAAGGCAAAGGACTCAACATACCCCTATACTTGATCCCATTAAATGAATGAGCCGTTGAACTGCTGAATTGGAAACTCGTCATCCAGTGATCACGAAACCCAGCTCAGCCTAGAATACATAATAAACATCATCCTCAACAAACTCACACATCTTAAGAAAGCCGTTCAATTGCCAATGCAGGCAAATTGTGCTTAAATCTGTTGAAAAAATCAGCATTACAGATAGAGAGAATGAAAGAGAAGGAAGGAGAAGGGTAGAGATATTTGAAGAGAACCAGAGAGAGAGAGAGAGGGGGGGGGGAGGCGGAGGGTGGAGATGGAGGAGTTGAGAGAAGAAGGGGCGGTGATGAAAGGATGGTGATGAAATGATATTCTGTGCTCAGCGCACAGTATATCATTTTACGACTTAAGATCACATTCACTCCAAACATCTACCACTTACGGGCTACTCATGCTCGTGCCACTTCTTGGGTGATTTAATCTTCATCAATCAATCATTCTGGTTCTCTTCAAATATCTCTACCTTCTCCTTTTGATAGACTATTCTCTCCAATCATTCGGTATAACACAAATTCCAGGACAAGTTGAGGGTTGTCTACTTGTAATATTTGAAGCAGTATGTTGGTATCTTCGATGTTTATTCTAAATATTCTGATTGAGAGGTGAACCATTAAATCCGTTCATCTCCACTGTATATCGGCTGCAGATACTGTAACCTATTGTCTTTCCCATTTAATTAATTAACTAGTCTCAATCCCAACAATAGGTACATAGGGAATTTAAATAGGGAATTTAAACGGACTAGTTCTATCCGGGACAACACGTCATCTGCTCTGCATCCCAATTCTTATGTCTAGAAGATATACAATTTAAAATAGGTATAATAAAATGGTGCACAAATTATTTTTTTTTATTTAATAAAAGAAAACAGCACTAGAAGGTGACAGTCTAAAAAAGTTTACAAAATACCACACCTCACCTCCGTTATATTGCTATATCCATCAATTGCTAATAATGCTCACTGAGGCATGACTCTGCTTCTTTTTCTCCAGGCAAGAATGTCGGCCTGAAGGTGGGGCAGGCGACTGCAGGAGTCGTGGTCCAAACGGCACCGCGTGAAGGGGTCGGCGGGGGACTCCAGCAGCAGGTGGACCAGCGTCGACTCGTCCACCACCATCTAGGAGGAATGCAACAGCACCGGTGCTTCCATCACCGCCTGATGGAAGCACCTAAGGACTTTTAATGCATTTGACGTATTAGAGGACGAGTGCTGTGGTGAACCTGTTGTTCAAAGAGGAGGCAAAGCAACGAGGAGCATTGAAGCGCAGGTCCCTCAAACTGCTCGAAAGGAAAAGGGAGAATCGAAGCGAATTTTGGTTGTGGGAGATTCCCAGGTGAGGTTTTTATACAGAACGTTTTGTGCCAGAGATAGGGGGAACAGATTAAGGGTTTGCTATCCGGGAGCTGGAATTGGTGATATTGTTAGAAACATGAATGATATTATGACGGGGAAATGGAAACAACCACATTATTTGTATTAGTGCAGGGGGTAATGATGTTGGGCGAGTTAGGAGTGAGGAACTAATACAGAGATTCAGGACAGCCATTGAATTAGTTAGAAGCAAGGGAGGAATCCCGATCATATGTGGCATTCTTCCAAGAAAGGGAGTGGGAAATGAATGGATGTCGAGGACAATTGGTGTCAATTGCCGGCTGGAAAGATATTGCAAATCAAATGCAATATCTTTCATAGACAACTGTTAACACTTCTATGGAAGAAATGAAATGTATGCTCGTGATGGGGTGCATCTATCGAGAGCTGGGGTTGTTGCTGTTGCTAACTCGTTGGAAGAAGTGGCTAGAGGTGTTTGTTTGGGTTTAAACTGTTAGTAGATAGTGGTATGGGAATTGATTTGGAGGAAGGAGGTAATAAAAGTATGTGTTTGTGGGAGAAAGGAATTGGCAAAATGATCAGGGAAAGAGAAGGGCCTCAAAATAACAATTCACTTAGGGTATATTACACTAACAGTAGAAGTCTAAGAATGACCCCAAGTGACCTGAGGTCAGATCATGATAATTTCACCTTGCTTCCGCTAAGCGTATAATTGGAGCCGGGTAGCCTTCAAACATGCCGACGTTTAAGGAGTGGCTTGGTAGTGCCGGAGGCTATCTACTTGTGGGCGGAGTTAGCTACTAGGTTCCCCAATATAAACTCGGAGAGCTATCCAGCATGAAGCATTAACAGACAGAACAGACAGAACGGCAGTCAGGAGAGCAGAGCAGACGGGAGGCTGTCGGCCGGCAGGGCGGGAGTCTCCGTCAACTACAAACCCCCCCCCCCCTCTCTATTCAACTTAGACTCAGTCCTCGGTGAGTGAACATTAAGGTGACTTGGTCGTGTTTACATATGTTGTGTGATGATCAGGGGCAGTCAAGTTGTAGGGTTCTCGAATTCTTGGATAATGACTCTCTTTAACATTTTAATTGAATTGCTACATTATGATACTTCATGTGAAATATAATTATGAATTTATTATTTAAATTGTGTTTAACTTTGTTCCCTAGAGCTTTGAGTTGAGGTGAGAAAGCCTCGGTGGTTACTAGATTCAAGATATTAATGAGTACTTGTTTGGAGTTGATACATGGTACAGAGGGAACATACTAATAATGAACTCATGATAACATCCTTGGAGAATATTTTGATACAGGCAAGTTCCATTCCTTGTCTTGTATGTAATGATCATGAATGGATGGTGGCAGCATTTCGTCTTCTACTATCTACTCTTCTACTTCTACTATCTACTCTTCTACTTCTACCTATCTACACCTCTCCCTCCACCCCCTCTCTAAACTCTCACTTTCAACTAATGACCCTCCTCGCTCCTCCCACCTCCCTACCTCTTACCCCAAACCCTCACTAATTACTTCACTATTCATTTCTTTCCTTTCGTTTCCTCTTATACGTTTGTGGCAATGATTCCGTATTCTAGAGTTCTCTCTAGAGTTTCGGGTAGCTGATCCAGTTACGACGCCTTGTAGTCTTAGCACCTAGGTAGTCAAATACCTAGGTTACAAGGTGTTGAACGAGAGAGGTTGCCTTAGGAACTCTGGAGGGTGCTCTAGAATAGTTAGCTAACTGGGGACGGGATAACGGACTAGAGAGAGCTGTTTCCCCCGGCCTCGTTAGTTAACTGGGGGGTGGAATAATGGACAAGATAGAGCTATTTCCCCCCACCCCCCGTTACAATGTTGGCAGCGGTGTTGAACAATGTTGTAGGTAGTTGGTGTTCTTTTAACATTGTTCAGTCCCACGTGTCTTTTTGCCGCTCAGGCGCTATCAGGGAGATCTTGACAGGTGTTTTACTTTCGCGATTTAGCGAGTTTTTTTCAGGCTAGGAGATAGTGATTCTCTGGTGTTGTGGTTTAGTGATTTTGTGAGTTTTGTGGTGTTCAGGGAATGTTCACCAGAACTTGCGTGTGTAGTGATTTATGTTAGTTGTAAGATTTGGTGATTTTGGAACTTAGCGGTTGGTGGGTAGTGGAGCTTACCTGAGTGTGACAGGTGACCTCGCATGTCCCACGGGGACACCCAGCCACCGCTGGTCTCCAGGTCAGTGGGGAGTGGCAGGTGTAGTTCTTAAGTAGTTTTAAGTGGTGAGTCTGCTCAGATTATTGCGATCGACTGTTTTACTCCATTTGAACGCAATAACCCGAGGTGTACTGGTCTTGTACAGCATGCTAGGGGGAGCCTTAGTATGTCAGTAGACTTCACGTTGGGGACGCTCGACGTTAGATAGTCTGGTCACAGGGGTGGCAACAGTTTGGGGTTGTTGACCGGCGGAGATGCTAGGGAGACACTCTGGGTCACGTAGGTGGCTGTAGGTTAAGGGTGGGAGTAACGTTTAATTATGTACTTAAGATTAGGAACGGTACAGTTAAGTTAGGCTAGTGTTTTGTCTATTAGTGTTGATTTTTTTTTGTATGACAAGTTAAAAGTAGTGATGACCTTATTCTCTCTTCTCTAACTTTACTCTGTTACTGTTTTATGTTCCACCAAGTCAATATCATTCAGAGTTAATTGGATTATTAAAATTTAAGTGTAGTTGTTGCCAGGAGGAGAGCTTATAATTGGACTGTGTGAACCCTATACAAACTACAGGGTCACACAACAAGATGGAACACGGGTATTGTTGCCTTTCTGTTCACCCACAGGTGGGAGCCAGAAGAGAGGAGAGACGCACATACAAAAGAGGGAGACGGCTGTTGTGTACCACACTCAGGGGCGTTTATCACCACCACCACGACCAGCCCACTACCTGGAGGTCATGGCTCCACCACCACCACCACCCCAGGGGACCCCAAGATGCAGCCCTCTCGGTCGGTCAACATTGGTCTACCCTGTGGACCCCAGGACGGACGGACCCCAGTGGACCCCAAGACGGACGGACCCCCAGTGGACCCCAGGTCGTTCTGCAGACGACCCCAGACGACTCCAGTCTGTCCCACCAACATCGGTCTACCCAGGATGGACCCAGGACGGACAGACCCCAATGGACCCCTGGTCGCTTGTCTAAGACCCATGGGAGGAGGAAGAGAGAAAAAAGAAGAGAGAAGAAAGAAGAGAGAAGAAGGAAGAGAGAAGAAAGAAGAAAGAAGAAGATAAGACAAGCTGAGTGAGACACGATGCCTCGTGTCCCTTGCTGGTATCAGCATCATTGCATGGAGCGTAATTGCAAGACAGGATCGTTTGCCTTAACTGGCCGCCCCTCCTACAAGCAAGTTGCTCTGTTGAGTGATTCATCCTGTGTCGTGTGGACTTGATGTGGCTGTCAGAAGTAGCTCTCTGAAGGAGGCGTGCTGGAGCAACAGGGAGGAAGAAGAGTAGGATGGGATTTCTACTGTTGGCAACTATATGAAGGTCTCGAAACTTGTAGTCCCTATAGCTGTGAAGAACCCCAATATATGTCTCTCATGGTGACTGACGTAGGGCCAATTACAGATCAGCTGGGACAACCGAATTCCACGGTCCTGTGCGCAGTTCAAGTAGTAACGGTTTTCGGGTTGACCAAGTGTTGTTGTGCGTTAACGACGGAGAAGCGACGGAGGCAGTTGTGTTGAAGAAATGTGGTACAGGATTATCTACAAGACCAAGCAGTGACGTCGCCCAGCCAGAGACAATGGACGTCTGTCTACATATTTCATTTTTTTAGAGTAGGATGATGTATATTTGTTTAGCTAGGATGTATTTTTTTTTCGTTAATAAAGTTGTTGCACACAGCTAGCTTGCTTTAGCAGTGTTGCAAAAACTTTATTTCGGGGAGAAGGGGAGATGTAACACTGTAAAAGTGTTTGGGTTAGTTTATTTAAAATATATATAGAGTACACGAGTCACAGACAAGGATCTGAGAGGCGCCAGTTGTCTGCCTGAGATCTCACACCTCTAACCGTTAATGACCCCAAGTGACCTGAGGTCAGATCATGATAATTTCACCTTGCTTCCGCTAAGCGTATAATTGGAGCCGGGTAGCCTTCAAACATGCCGACGTTTAAGGAGTGGCTTGGTAGTGCCGGAGGCTATCTACTTGTGGGCGGAGTTAGCTACTAGGTTCCCCAATATAAACTCGGAGAGCTATCCAGCATGAAGCATTAACAGACAGAACAGACAGAACGGCAGTCAGGAGAGCAGAGCAGACGGGAGGCTGTCGGCCGGCAGGGCGGGAGTCTCCGTCAACTACAAACCCCCCCCCCCCTCTCTATTCAACTTAGACTCAGTCCTCGGTGAGTGAACATTAAGGTGACTTGGTCGTGTTTACATATGTTGTGTGATGATCAGGGGCAGTCAAGTTGTAGGGTTCTCGAATTCTTGGATAATGACTCTCTTTAACATTTTAATTGAATTGCTACATTATGATACTTCATGTGAAATATAATTATGAATTTATTATTTAAATTGTGTTTAACTTTGTTCCCTAGAGCTTTGAGTTGAGGTGAGAAAGCCTCGGTGGTTACTAGATTCAAGATATTAATGAGTACTTGTTTGGAGTTGATACATGGTACAGAGGGAACATACTAATAATGAACTCATGATAACATCCTTGGAGAATTTTGTGATACAGGCAAGTTCCATTCCTTGTCTTGTATGTAATGATCATGAATGGATGGTGGCAGCATTTCTACGTCTACTTTCTACTCTTCTACTACTACCTATCTATTCCTCTCCCTCCACCCCTCTCTAAACTCTCACTTTCAGCTAATGACCCTCCTCGCTCCTCCCACCTCCCTACCTCTTACCCCAAACCCTCACTAATTACTTCACTATTCATTTCTTTCCTTTCGTTTTCTCTTATACGTTTGTGGCTATGATTATGTATTCTAGAGTTCTCTCTAGAGTTTCGGGTAACTGATCAAGTGACGGCGCCTTGTAGTCTTAGCACCTAGGTAGTCGAATACCTAGGTTACAAGGTGTTGAACGAGAGAGGTTGCCTTAGGAACTCTGGGAGTGCTCTAGAATAGTTAGCTAACTGAGGACGGAATAACGGACTAGAGAGAGCTGTTTCCCCCGGCCTCGTTAGTTAACTGGGGGGTGGAATAATGGACAAGATAGAGCTATTTCCCCCCACCCCCCGTTACATAAGAAATAAAATTAACGAATTAAATGCTCTTGTCTGCACAGAAAAAATTGATATTATTGCACTTACCGAAACGTGCATGAATGTAGAAAATAGAGAACTATTAGCTGAATATCAAATAAATAGATTTAAACTATTTCACACTGATAGATATATTAGACGAGGAGGGGGAGTAGCCATATATGTTAGGAACAATTTGAAATGTAGTCTCAAAGAGGGAATCAAAACTGAGCCACACACAGAAACTATTTAGATAGAATTATACGAAAAAGCAAATAATATTATAATAGGAGTTATATATAGGCCACCAAATTTAGACAGAATGGAAGCAAACCATCTATGGGATGAAATATCTAGAGCATCTAGATCTATTTCATTTCTAGGCCATTTATAAAACCATGTTGCGACTCAATTATTAATTTATGTTTTTCAAGATGAAGACGAATTTTATTTGCTATTATAGATTCGAGTAACTTTCCCACAATAGACTTTAGGCTAATTGGTCGATAGTTAGACGCAAGTGATCTATCTCTTTTTTTAAAAACTGGTATCACATTAGCAACTTTCAGGAACTCTGGCACTCTGCCTGACTCTATTGATTTATTAAATATGGTTGACAGTGGGTCACAAAGCTCCTCTTTGCATTCTTTAAACACCCTGGCAAACACTTCATCCGGCCCTGGGGATTTGTTTGGTTTGAGTTTTACTATTTGTTTAAGAACATCCTCCCTGGTATCTGTTAAACTCGTCAACCTGTCCTCGTCCTCACCCACATAGACTTGTTCGGCTGAAGCTCACTCCCTATTTCGATGTCATTAATTTGTGTTTCCCTGTTAGTTAACACTAAATCTAAAATATTATTTTCCCGTGTTGGTTCCTTAATGTGTTGCGTAAGAAAGCAATCGTAAATTAATTCTAGAAAATCTTATGCTTCACTGTTCTATAACCACCCAATCCCACTTATATACTTGTCCAACCCGCGCTTGAAACAATAGAGGGACCCCACCTCCACCACGTTACGCGGCAATTGGTTCCACAAATCAACAACCCTTTTACTGAACCAGTATTTACCCAAGTCTTTCCTAAATCTAAACTTATCCAATTTATACCCATAGTTTCGTGTTGATATTTTAATAAGAACATAAGAACATAAGAACAAAGGCAACTGCAGAAGGCCTATTGGCCCATTCGAGGCAGCTCCTATTCTATAACCACCCAATCCCTCTCATATACTTGTCCAACCCGCGCTTGAAACAATCGAGGGACACCACCTCCACCACGTTACGCGGCAATTGGTTCCACAATTCAACAACCCTGTTACTGAACCAGTATTTACCCAAGTCTTTCCTAAATCCAAAATTATCCAATTTATACCCATTGTTTCGTGTTCTGTCTTGTGTTGATATTTTTAATACCCTATTAATATCCCCCCTGTTATGTCCATTCATCCACTTGTAAACCTCTATCATGTCACCCCTAACTCTTCGCCTTTCCAGTGAATGCAACTTAAGCTTTGTTAATCTTTCTTCATATGAAAGATTTCTAATATGGGGAATTAACTTAGTCATCCTACATTGGACACGTTCAAGTGAATTTATATCCATTCTATAATACGGCGACCAAAACTGAACTGCATAATCTAAATGGGGCCTAACCAGAGCAAGATATAGCTTAAAAACCACACCAGGTGTCTTGTTACTAACGCTTCGATTAATAAATCCCAGTGTCCTATTCGCCTTATTAAGAACATTCATGCATTGATCCTTTTGTTTTAAATTCTTACTAATCATAACTCCCAGATCCCTTTCGCAATCCGACTTCGCAATCTCAACACCATCTAGCTCGTATCTTGTAACTCTATCATCATTACCTAGCCTCAGAACTTTACATTTATCAGCATTAAACTGCATTTGCCAATCATTTGACCATTTCAAAACCCTATCTAGATCAACTTGAAGTGATAGTAAGTCCTCCTCCAAATTAATTTCCCTACCGATTTTCGTATCATCGGCAAATTTGCAAATGTTGCTACACAAACCTGAATCTAAAACATTTATATATATTATAAACAGAGGTCCCAGGACAGAACCCTGACGTACTCCACTAACAACATTATCCCACTCTGACTTAACCCCATTTATACTAACTCTCTGTTTCCTTTGGAATAGCCATGCTCTAATCCAAGTTAATATAACACCCCCAATACCATGAGCTTCTATTTTTTTAATTAGTCTTTCATGTGGCACTGTATCAAAAGCTTTGCTAAAGTCAAGGTACACAACATCACAATCCTTACCACTATCAACTGCCTCAACTATGCTGGAATAAAAAGTTAGCAAATTTGTTAAACATGAACGGCCATTTGTAAAACCATGTTGCGACTCATTTATTAATTTATGTTTTTCAAGATGGAGACGAATTGTATTTGCAATTATTGATTCAAGTAACTTTCCCACAATTAGGCTAATTGGCCGATAGTTTGACGCAAGTGATCTATCTCCTTTCTTAAAAATTGGTACCACATTAGCTGCCTTCCATGACTCTGTCACTCGGCCTGACTCTATTGATTTATTAAATATGGTAGACAGTGGCTCGGAAAGCTCCTCTTTGCATTTAATACCCTATTATTATCCCCCTGTTATGTCCATTCATCCACTTGTAAACCTCTATCATGTAAGAACATAAGAACAAAGGTAACTGCAGAAGGCCTATTGGCCCATACGAGGCCGCTCATATCTATAACCACCCAATCCTACTCATATACTTGTCCAACCCGCGCTTGAAACAATCAAGGGACCCCACCTCCACCACGTTACGCGGCAATTGGTTCCACAAATCAACAACCCTGTTACTGAACCAGTATTTACCCAAGTCTTTCCTAAATCCAAACTTATCCAATTTATACCCATTGTTTCGTGTTCTGTCTTGTGTTGATATTTTTAATACCCTATTAATATCCCCCCTGTTTTAGGCTAATTGGTCGATAGTTTGACGCAAATGATCTATCTCCTTTCTTAAAAATTGGTATCACACTAGCAACTTTCCATAACTCTGGCACTCTGCCTAACTCTATTGAGTCATTAAATATGGTAGACAGTGGCTCGGAAAGCTCCTCTTTGCATTCTTTAAGCACCCTGGCAAACACTTCATCCGGCCCTTGGGGTTTGTTTGGTTTGAGGTTTAACTATTTGTTTAATTACATCCTCCCTGGTAACTGCTAAACTAGTCAACCTGTCCTCGTCCCCACCCACATAGACTTGTTCCGCTGAAGGCATATTGTTAAGTTCCTCTTTAGTAAATACAGATATAAAATATTTATTAAAAACACTACTCATCTCTTCATCATTATCTGTTATTTGACCTGTCTCAGTTTTTAATGGACCTATACTTTCCCTAATCTTTGTCTGGAATAACTGGAAAAACCCTTGAGGATTTGTCTTTGCTTGCTCTGCTATGCGAACTTCATACTTTCTTTTTGCTTTCCTTATCTCTTTTTTAGTATTTCTAACCAGTTGTACGAATTTCTGTTCTAAACTGTCTTCTCCATTCATAATCCTTTTGTACTACACTCTCTTTTTACCTATAAGGTTCTTCAGATCCTTCGTTATCCACTTTGGATCATTAGTATTCGATCTATTCAATTTATATGGTATACTACGTTCCTGGGCTTCGCTAAGAATATTTTTAAATTGGTTATATTTTGAGTCCACATCGAAAACCCCTTTTACGTCATCTATCGCTGGGTTCACGTCTAGCTCCAATACCGGCCCACACGCCATACCCAAGACTTTTGACATACCATCAAAACATAATAATAAATGTCTCTGCAGAAGGCCTTTTGTCCCATAAGAGGCAGCTCCTATTTTAACCACCCAATCTCACTCATATCCATGTCCAACCCATGTTTGAAAGAATTATTCAAATTTTCTTACGATAACATCAATGAGAATAAGACCGAGTTTAGTATACCTCGTTTTATTACTATTAAAAGATTACAATCAACAGCTCCAGCACCTCATCCCTGTCTGCCCTACTTACCTTTAACCAAGTATGATCATGTTCCATGTGACTTACACCCTGACCTCTGTAATAAATATCAGAGACATTCCAGCAAATCCCATTGGGCTGTTAATGCCCACATCAATAACCGCATATATCACTCGGCTTCGGACCAGCGCTACGAGAACAGTTCTCCTCTGTATTCTGTATCGTGTATTGTAATTCTCTTCTCTGGTAGCTCATTTAGCGTTTACTTCTGCAAGGACTGTTTCCAAAGCCGACACTTAATTGACACTATAAAGTTCTTTATTTTCACAACTTGAATGGAAAAGATTCAGCAGACTTCAATATATTAAGATAAACAAGTGAATGAAAAGTTATTCAGGTGAGATATATGTACAGGATTTAGCGATCGTAGGAATATACCTACGGACATATTAATGCAAACAAGTGAGAAGCTTCACGAGTGTCCGTGTCCAGTGAATCTTTGGAAAAAATTAAACAATCTTGGATACTTGAAAAAAAATCACAGGATTATGCAAACAGGTGAAAAACCTTTCAAGTGTGAACATTGTTCCAAAAATTTCTTTGACCGCAGTACTATAATAAAACATATGCGCGTGCATACTGGCGAGAAACCTTACGCGTGTCCAGAATGTGGGGCAAGATTCAGTCAACAAGGAACTCTGAAGATTCACAAGACAGTACATACAGGGGAAAAACCTTACGAATGTCCTGAGTGTGAGAAAACATTCAATCATCAGACAAGTTTGAAGAATCACCAGATGATACATTCAGGTGAAAAACCTTTCAAGTGTGAACATTGTTCCAAAAATTTCTTTGACCGCAGTACTATAATAAAACATATGCGCGTGCATACTGGCGAGAAACCTTACGCGTGTCCAGAATGTGGGGCAAGATTCAGTCAACAAGGAACTCTGAAGAGTCACAAGATGGTACATACAGGGGAAAAACCTTATGAATGTCCTGAGTGTGAGAAAACATTCAATCATCAGACAAGTTTGAAGAATCACCAAATGATACATTCAGGTGAAAAACCTTATGGGTGTCTGGAGTGTGGGAAAAAATTCAGTCTTCAAAAAAGTTTGAAGAACCACCAGATGATACATTCAGGTGAAAAACCTTACGAGTGTCTAGAGTGTGGGAAAAAATTCCGTCAACAAGGAACTCTAAAGAGTCACCAGATAGTACATTTAGGTGAAAAACTTTACGAGTGTCTAGAGTGTGGGAAAAAATTCAGTCGTCAGAGAAGTTTAAAGAGTCACCAGATGGTACATTCAGGTGAAACACCTTACGAGTGTACAGAGTGTGGAAAAAGATTCAACCGTCTAGGAAATATGAAAAAACATAGGATGGTGCATACAGATAAAAACCTTTCAAGTGTGACCCTTGTTCCCAAAATTTCCTTGAATGCAGTACTATAATAAAACATGTGCGTGTATACGGCAAAAATCTTACCGAGTGTCCAGAGTGAAAAGATTATGTCATCAGTGAAGTTTGAAGCCTAACAAGATGGTACATACAAGTGAGAAACCTAATTATTGTCCAGAGTGGTGAAAGAGTCAGACATGAAACTATATGAAAAAACACGATGGTTGATGAAAGGTGAAAAACCTTTCAAGTGTAACCAATGTAACCATTGTCCAAAAAATTTAATTTACTGCCGTAGTATAATAAAACATATAGCTGAGCATATGGGTGAGAACCCTTATATGTAAAATATTCATTAAAAATGGAAATATGAGGAGACACAGAATGGAACAAGTTAACTCAAGTGAAATAATCTATCAAATAAATCATGCTATGTATATACTTTATGAAAGTAATAAAAATAAAATTTATTTACAAAATTTAATGTATTATTTCCACCTGAACATCTTTTTTTTTCAGTAAACACGTGTCAAACACAGTTAAAACATATGTATCGATAAATTTGGAATGATACAAATGTGATAATTTACGGGGAAGTGGTTCAAATAGCTTCGGCTATCATTTCCTTATGTCTGGTCGTGATTGTCAAGAGGATTAAGGCGTCCTGTAATATATATAATATATATATAATATATATATTATATATAATATATATATAATATATATATTATATATCTTTAGAACACTTTCCCACCAGGAGACTCGAACCCTAGCCAGCACAGAAGCCTTCCAGCAACTGGCATAACAGGTACGCCTTAACCCACTCCACCACCTGCTCAGACCCTTAAAAGAGATGGTAATTTCGGAGTATTTATACACTCCAAAGACCACCACCTCCCAAGAGCACTAGAGCAAGTGAGGGGTCATTTTTACGTTTTTTCATGAAGTCCCTGTTAATATGGGAGAACACTGTGTCAATGCTTAAGGCACAACTCTCCTAAACACGAGAGTGAAGTATACAACTTTAGAACACTTTCCCACCAGGAGACTCGAACCCTAGCCAGCACAGAAGCCTTCCAGCAACTGGCATAACAGGTACGCCTTAACCCACTCCACCACCTGCTCAGACCCTTAAAAGTTGTATACTTTTAAAGTTGTATGTTCTAAAGTTGTATACTTCACTCTCGTGTTTAGGAGAGTTGTGCCTTAAGCATAGACACAGTGTTCTCCCATATTAACAGGGACTTGATGAAAAAACGTAAAAATGACCCCTCACTTGCTCTAGTGCTCTTGGGAGGTGGTGGTCTTTGGAGTGTATAAATACTCCGAAATTATCATCTCTTTTAAGGGTCTGAGCAGGTGGTGGAGTGGGTTAAGGCGTACCTGTTATGCCAGTTGCTGGAAGGCTTCTGTGCTGGCTAGGGTTCGAGTCTCCTGGTGGGAAAGTGTTCTAAAGTTGTATACTTCACTCTCGTGTTTAGGAGAGTTGTGCCTTAAGCATAGACACAGTGTTCTCCCATATTAACAGCGATGAAAAAACGTAAAAATGACCCCTCACTTTCTCTAGTGCTCTTGGGAGGTGGTGGTCTTTGGAGTGTATAAATACTCCGAAATTACCATCTCTTTTAAGGGTCTGAGCAGGTGGTGGAGTGGGTTAAGGCGTACCTGTTATGCCAGTTGCTGGAAGGCTTCTGTGCTGGCTAGGGTTCGAGTGGTGGGAAAGTGTTCTAAAGTTGTATACTTCACTCTCGTGTTTAGGAGAGTTGTGCCTTATATTATATATAAGGCATATATATATATATATATATATATATATATATATATATATATATATATAACCTATACCCCCTATTAGACTATTTTACAGGAACTTCTTTTCCACAGCTCATAAAACAGAGGAAAGGGTCCTGAAAGATATTGTTAATAGAAACGTCATCCCTACAGACAAAATCAGAGGATACAACTGACGATTTACTATAAAACCAGAAAAACGGCCAGCCTACTCATGAGAAACTCTCCAGACACAAACAGAACGCTTTAAAAGAGACAAACGTCGTCTATGCCTTCAAATGCCCACTTGGGGACTGTAAGCTCCAAAAAACCCAGTATATAGGCAAGACAACAACATCTCTTTCTAGGCGTTTAACGATGCATAAACAACAGGGCTCCATTAAGGAACATATAATCTCTTCCCATAACCAAACCATCGCCAGAGAAATCCTAGTAAACAACACAGAAATCATCGATAGATACAGCGATAGCAGGCGGCTTGACGTTTGCGAGGCACTACACATCAAGAAGTCAACACCAGCAATCAACAGCCAATTATTGCACAACTATATTCTACCCACCTTAAGACTCCGCTCCAATATAGAAGCATCAAGAAATATGGACCAATAGGCTTTCTACAAACACTTCTATTCAATACCCATTGTTTCTGTTCTGTCTTGTGTTGATACTTTTAATACCCTATTAATATCCCCTAGTGTTCTGTCTTGTGTTAATGCCACATCACCCTTCCCACCTCACTCAAATGTAATGCCACATCACCCTTCCCACCTCACTCAAATGTAGATATAAAATCAGGGAAACATATTTAATAATATATATATATATATATATATATATATATATATATATATATATATATATATATATATATATATATATATATATATATATATATATATATATATATATATATATATATATATATATATATATATATATATATATATATATATATATATATATATATATATATATATATATATATATATATAATATATATATATATATATATATATATATATATATATATATATATATATATATATATATATATATATATATATATATATATATATATATATATATATATATATATATATATTATATATATATATATATATATATATATATATATATATATATATATATATATATATATATATATATATATATATATATATATTATATATATATATATATATATATATATATATATATATATATATATATATATATATATATATATATATATATATATATATATATATATATATATATATATATATATATATATATATATATATATATATATATATATATATATATATATATATATATATATATATATATATATATATATATATATATATATATATATATATATATATATATATATATATATATATATATATATATATATATATATATATATATATATATATATATATATATATATATATATATATATATATATATATATATATATATATATATATATATATATATATATATATATATATATATATATATATATATATATATATATATATATATATATATATATATATATATATATATATATATATATATATATATATATAATATATATATATATATATATATATATATATATATATATATATATATATATATATATATATATATATATATATATATATATATATATATATATATATATATATATATATATATATATATATATATATATATATATATATATATATATATATATATATATATATATATATATATATATATATATATATATATATATATATAATATATATATATATATATATATATATATATATATATATATATATATATATATATATATATATATATATATATATATATATATATATATATATATATATATATATATATATATATATATATATATATATATATATATATATATATATATATATATATATATATATATATATATATTATATATATATATATATATATATATATATATATATATATATATATATATATATATATATATATATATATATATATATATATATATATATATATAGATATATATATATATATATATATATATATATATATATATATCTTGGGCATAGCATTTTACCAAATCACCTCATTCTTTGGGGCACACGTGAGGAACACAAATGCGAACAAGCCTGAATGGTCCCCAGGACAATATGCAACTGAAAACTCACACCCCAGAAGTGACTCGAACCCATACTCCCAGGAGCAACGCAACTGGTATGTACAAGACGCCTTAATCCACTTGACCATCACGACCGGACATAATGAGGTGATAGCCGAGGCTATTTGAACCACCCCACCGCCGGCACTCGGATAGTAATCTTGGGCATAGCATTTTACCAAATCACCTCATTCTTTGGGGCACACGTGAGGAACACAAATGCGAACAAGCCTGAATGGTCCCCAGGACAATATGCAACTGAAAACTCACACCCCAGAAGTGACTCGAACCCATACTCCCAGGAGCAACGCAACTGGTATGTACAAGACGCCTTAATCCACTTGACCATCACGACCGGACATAATGAGGTGATAGCCGAGGCTATTTGAACCACCCCACCGCCGGCACTCGGATAGTAATCTTGGGCATAGCATTTTACCAAATCACCTCATTCTTTGGGGCACACGTGAGGAACACAAATGCGAACAAGCCTGAATGGTCCCCAGGACAATATGCAACTGAAAACTCACACCCCAGAAGTGACTCGAACCCATACTCCCAGGAGCAACGCAACTGGTATGTACAAGACGCCTTAATCCACTTGACCATCACGACCGGACATAATGAGGTGATAGCCGAGGCTATTTGAACCACCCCACCGCCGGCACTCGGATAGTAATCTTGGGCATAGCATTTTACCAAATCACCTCATTCTTTGGGGCACACGTGAGGAACACAAATGCGAACAAGCCTGAATGGTCCCCAGGACAATATGCAACTGAAAACTCACACCCCAGAAGTGACTCGAACCCATACTCCCAGGAGCAACGCAACTGGTATGTACAAGACGCCTTAATCCACTTGACCATCACGACCGGACATAATGAGGTGATAGCCGAGGCTATTTGAACCACCCCACCGCCGGCACTCGGATAGTAATCTTGGGCATAGCATTTTACCAAATCACCTCATTCTTTGGGGCACACGTGAGGAACACAAATGCGAACAAGCCTGAATGGTCCCCAGGACAATATGCAACTGAAAACTCACACC